ATGACCTTATCAGTAGTGCAGGTAGTTTTTTTTTAACATCTCCCATCTCTCATTAGCTATCTTCCTTCTCATAGGTGCTGATCATAAGCCTGTTCTTATTGTGTGTGTGCACATGTGTGTTTTCTTTTTTGAGCCTGCTTTTCTGGTGTTTCATGGTTTCCTTCCTAAGCTATTCTATGCTTTCGGATGATAACATTTTCTTCTCAGCTTCATGCTTCCTCTACCATCCAGTTCTTTCTTGGTGGTCAGTTTTAAGTCTAAAACAGTGCCCTTCAGATGTTTCAGTTTTCCTTTGAAAAACTAAAATGTCTGTGGGAAAGGACGTTTATCAGCCCGTGGGATGAAACTTCTAAAGGGGACTCAAATAAGAGACACAATGTCAAGTGTTCACCGCTTCCTGTGTGTATTTCCATTTCTTCACCTGTGAAAGGGGATAAAATCGGATGGTTATCATAGGGCTGTTGTGGAGGATGGGTAAATACTTGTGTATCGGCCACAGTGTACATTCAGTAAATTACCGCTGCCATTATTGTTATGGCTGTTGTTAGTAATCATCACGACCACTAAATTTTATTTTTTCCCATTTTCTGAACTAAGAAAGCATCTTCCAGAATCGAGCTCATACCTTGGACTGAGTGTATAGCACAATATTACTTCTGTTTTCTTTTCAACTTAGCCCAAATCTTTGTCAGCATGTTTCCATACTTGTTCTATATTCTAGAGTTGTATAGAAACGTGATAATCAGTACTAATTCCTTTACAGCAGCTTATCACATCCGTTTTCTTCCTGCAGTATAGATACTTTTACTATAGGAGTGCCTCCACTTTCTCTGACTACCCCCAAGGAGATCATGACTTGTTGAGAGGAAGTATTCAAAGTTGCTGCTTTGAAAAGGAAATGTGCCCATGGTGATAGTGGAAATAAAACTCCATTTAGTAGCATGATTATATTTTGACATAGAGAATGGTTTTCTAGGGCTAATAAAGGCCTGATCCCAACATAACTCCATTGTGCAAACTTCTAATTTCTGCGGGTACTAATATATGAGCATTAGACTAGCTAAGCTAAAAGGTTGTTGCCAAGTTTGAAATTCTGTGGTTCTCTTCATCTGTCTTGATAGCAGTCCCTCTGCTGATGGCCACCTCTGTTTGAGTGTATTTCCTCTAGCAGATGTTAATTCTGATCAGCTTAATTTAATTGTATTTTAACTACCTTCAGAAGACCATAGTTCTTTGAGATATCAGAAAACAAATTAACTTTGGCATAATTAAAAATGTAATGAGTTATAAAAGTTAAAACAGTTTGATTTATTTCAGCTGGTAATTAAATTAGTTTGGGTGCAATAATAAGAATACAATAATAAAAACTCATGCAATGTCATTTTGGGCACAGCCTCACAAGGGTAGAGGATGGCAGGAAACCACTCATGTGAGGTGAGAGAATATACTACAGAATAAGAAGCAAGCCCCGCGTAAGTGATGCTGATAGTTCCAGGTGGGAAAAACAAGGGTCCTGGAATTCAGTTTTTGAAAATCGCAAATGCTCATTGGTGTCGAATACGGTCTTTAGGTCTCATGGGCGTTTTATTTTCTTAGCATGTTTCTACTTCCCAATAATTTTCAGATTATAGAAGTAAAAGATAATTTAAATAGCATTTTTTGTGTTGCAAATATTACATGAACAAGCAGAGTCTTACAATTAAATAGTCACTGGGCTTTACTTCAATAATCAATTCTCATTTCTGTAAGTGCGTTCCAGTGCAAGCCTCTGAATTTGTCTAGCTCTGATGTTAAGTTTGCTACAACTAATCACTTTTAAATCGTGTTCATCTTAAAATGTTTTGGGCACTGTTAGTTGGGGGCTGGTTTACACAGACTCCTGGTTCCCCTTTTTCTAGATTTGTGAACCTTTCCCCATCTCAAAGCAGCATGAAGCTTTTGTCATTGCCAATGCAGAAGAAATGAGTTGAATATGCATTAGTTCATTTTCCCCCCAAACTTTGGAAAATAAATTTGAAGGGGAAAGAAACTAGATCTTAAATGTTTTGGATAAGTGTGCATTTTGTTTGCTAGGCCAAAACTGCCAGAAGGTAGAATTGAATTCACCATGATAGTCATAAGAAGTGTTTTGAAAATCCCCCATTAATCCAGTGGGACTCCCCTTCCCCTCAGCCTCCTCTCAGATTGTCAGCATGGAGGTGAGAGTGGGGAGAAGACAGTTCTTGCATGTGCTCGGTGATCTGGCCACCACCTGCTCCAGCCGTCTGTTCCCTTTTGGCTTGTGTTCTGTGAGGTCTTGTTAGCTGCCAGGGCTGCTAATGTCTGATGCCCTTGCAGCATTTTTTCCTTTTCTACTAACCTGGCCTGTGGGCCTCTTTTGTGGAACACTATTACCTGGGGTATGTAAAGCAAAATTGTGCTATTAATGGCATATTAGAATTATAATAATTAAAAAAATAGAACAACTCTTAGCTTCTATTGACTTATAACTCCTCTAGGGTTGGAGCTGAAGGGTAATCCGAAGGACAAATGCCTTTTCTGTGTGACCTGGCCCAGCTCGTATGTGTGGATTCTTGTTCTACCGGGGAAAGCTCTTCTCTAGGAAACTCCAAGATGCTCTAAAAAAAAAAATCTCTCTGGGTAGTTGTTTCTGTTCTCGGGAAATAATCTGAGTAAAGGGCATAACAATATGGAACCTTAGTGCTAATGCTTCCATTATCTTTTATTACCAAAGGAATTTATCTACAGATACAAATTTTCACTCTTCTATTATGTAGCTCCCTTCATTTATTCAATGACATTTACTATGTTCCAGGCATATTTCTAGTCAGTGTTTGTCAACTGGGATGACTCTATCCAGCTGCATTTCCACTGGAAAATCTTGACAATTTTGCCTTCCAAATATGCTCCAGATTTTCAGTACTTCCACTTCTAACATGTAATCCAGTGTAGCACCTCAGGTTGGTCCTACAGTAGCCCCCAGTAGACCTCTCTGCTGCTACTTTGTGCCGTTACCATCTATTCTTCCTACAATAGCCAGAGTAATGTTCAAAAAATGAGAATCATACCATGACCTTTCCCTTCAATGGCCTCTCATCACACTTAGGCTTTATCATCATAATCTGTGATTGGGCTGTTGACTGCTGTTCCCAAATACACTCCCATGACTTTCCCTCTGCTCATTTAGCTCCTGGTAAAATTCGACTGCTTTATTACATATGTAAATCTCTCTCTCTCTCTTTGCATTATATGGACAAAAGTGGGAAAGTTTTCACATCACAACCATGTGTGGGTTGGCTGCTTATTCATGGTTCTAACCTACAGACTTACCTTTATCATCAGACTTTGAAAGACCTGTTATTTAGAATGGATAATAAGTAGATATTTGACCTGGGAGTCCTTAGCCCTAAGTTATATACCAGCCTTCATTTCTTTGGGCTTAGTAGTTGAAACAGTCATAAGAGTTTGGATGAAAACTTAAGTGGTTTGGAAATGCAAAGTAAGACTTTGGAACATGTGTGTGTCACTATCCCCATGACTGTCCCGCCAGCCTGTCCCAAAGTTTGAGGGATCTTCGATGGTCCATCTCTCTTAGGGCCTGAGGATCTATGAATCATCAGGTTCCCTTTTTTTATTATATTTGGCCCATCATTTTCCAGTTCCTGTCCCCCAGAATTAAAGAAGAAATTATGTTTAAGGATGCTTTTTTTTGAATAAAAACCTATAATCGTAGATCCAAATGTTGCATTTTCTAGGTGAAACATTATGGAGACAGTGTTGACTGGAACATTTCAGACTTTGTCCCCTGATGCTGAATTTGAGGAATTATTACCTTTAAAGCTAAGCTCACACTTAATACTTTCATTTCCTTTTCTGCACCACCCTTTGGGTTTCTTTGTTTCCTGAGTGGAAATTTTGAAGAATCACAGACCTTAGGAGATTTAAAACTAGAACCTTATCAGTTCAAAGTTTGCAAAATATAGGGTGGAGCGAAAGTAGGTTTACGGTTGTTTGTATAGAACTAATATAATAATTAATAAATAATAATACAAGAATAAACTCTGTGTTTCATGTACTCACAACTATAAACCTACTTTTGCCCCACCCTGTACATTACTTCAGAGGAAAAAGAGCTGTTTTACCCCTCAAATAACATAATTTTTCATGTGATATGTTCCTTAAAGGTCATATTACATGACAAGAACATGAGGTCTGTTATTGTATAGAAAATGGAAAACTGAACAAGATCTGTAAAGCTTTGAATAGAGAGACAGTCACCCACCCCCAACCCTATCTTCGTTCCTTCACACCACATGGATCTAGCCAGTGAGATATGGGACAAAACTGGCATTTTACGGCCTGTGAAAGTTCCTACCTTTTGTTTTACAGTATGTGGCTGTCTTGCAAATTGTCTCTAAGTGCCATATTGGTAGGGTAGCACAAAATCCAAATTAACAGCTACTCTAACTTTCTGGCTAAGCCATACCAGACACTGTTTGGCCCCTAAATTATTTGATTCTTCCTTGTTTTTTAAAATAAGTTCTCTCTAAATAGCAAAGGAAACCTCACTACCTAGTCTCAGTGCCTGGAGGATGAAATCTTTTGTGATTTTTTTTTTCTTTCGCTTTGGTAGATACTTCATGTCCAGTTTCCTCCAAGATAGTACCCAAAGTAATTATAGAAAGGACTTGAGATTTTTACATATTTCCAGTGCTTAAAAGAAAGAAATATTCCAGAAGAGTAGCAAATTTTGGTTAATGAGAACACTGCTTATCTGTTTATAGGGGCAATATGGCCTATTCTGTTAGTACCTCCTCTGGGAAACGTGGCAAGGCTGAGTGACCTTGTATGTTTGGATTCACTGTGAAGAAATCACCACCCTTGATTGTACTAAATTTCCATAAATATTAGCTTGCACAAGAGACTAAATGAAGAGGAGAAAGCCTCAAGTTCGAATGAAAGACAGATAGACCATCACATTTTCTTTCTTTACGCTTTAGAAGTTCACCTGGACCCCCACCGAACATGGTGTCCTGTCGCAGACTGTCAGACAGTGTGCCCTGTTGCAGCAGGTGACCCGGGACAGCCTGTGCTGGTGGAGTGCCCTTCCTGCCACCTGAAGTTCTGCTCATGTTGCAAGGATGCTTGGCATCCTGAGGGCTCCTGCAGAGACAGTCAGCCCATCATCTTGCCAACAGAACACGGGTAAGAAGGAAAATGTGGGGTTTGGGACTATTCATATTTTTCTCAGAAAAATGAAATATGTTGCTTGGGGAAGGAATTATTTTGTGATAGAATTTAGCGATTCATTATTTCCCTGCAGTACTTTGCTAACAAAGAATAAGCCAAAAAGCATCTCTAGGGGGATTTTAGTTATTTTCCCTGGACAGTCTTTCAGATACTGCTGAAATTAGAGTTTGTATGAATTTTGGTTTCTCTTTAGAGAGTCACATGGTCCACTGGTTCTCAGCTGGAAGTCATAGCTTGTCCACAGTGATTTGCTTGGGTACCATACCTGCCGGCTATTGACATACCTTGTTCTTTATGCTTGCCAAGTGTGCAGAAATTAGTTTCTTACCTAACTAAATTGCCAGCTCATGAAGTGTGCCAGTCATATCGGAGAGAGTGCAGCAGTAGAAACAACAGCCTTTCAGTGTAGTACAGTACTAAATTCATAGGTACTAGAGGAAAAGAGCTTATCTCTCAATACTTTATGCTTTGAAAAGTTGGTGCCAAGTTGAGATTTTATTATGATGAGAAGCAATTAAATCTGTGCTTTTCAGTAGGGAGAGTTTTTATGGCAGCAGCAGGACCCAGAGTAAGAGATCTTTCTGTTTGATTGCTTGCTTTGCTTGAGGCTATGGCTGTTCTGCATCAGCAAGAAGAGAAATACCAGTGTTGTAGTCCAGTTGGCTTGGTCACCCAGTGCCCTCAGAGTGTGGAGAACCATTCTCAGGAGTAGTAATGCTACCTGGCTATGGTACTGTGTTTGAATCTAAGACCAGACAAATCAAGAGGGAAAACAGATCCAATGCGTGTGGCAGGCCTGTGCCCTTTTACCAGTACCTCCTACATTTTCACTGCCACTGTGGGGAGGTCCCTGGGCATCACGGGACAATGTAAAGATCCCAGAGGGAGAAGGACTGAGTTCTGACATTGTCACTTGGCATCCCTGTGATCTCATGAAGTCACTCAGGCCCTAAGGGATATTTCTCTGTTTGAGAAAAAGAGGGGAGCTAATTAAAGTGGTAACTGTCCCACTGCTATCTATATAAGGTTACTGGGAAGTACCCAACTCTATCACAGTTTGTACATCTCTGTGAAGTTGATGTCTCTGTGCTGGGTGTGGTTTTAATGAATAGCTGAAGTCCAACCCAGTGCTGTGGCTCACCTAGCCTTCCTTCCCACCCCACTTCCCCCCTTATTTTCTGTCCCTCTAGCCTGTGACTTTTTATTGGCCTATCCATCTGTTTGAAGTCTTTTCAATGACTTTGGGCATTTACTTTAAAGTATTGATTATTGACTCCCCCCAACCGCCCCATTTGTTTATTTGGGCAGATCATTAGATGGGTTGTCTATGCCCCATTAGATCCTGAGCTAGTTTTTCTGCTGTGTAACAGACTTTTTATTCAGACAGTGTGTGTTCAGGGAATGAAATACTACTTTGGCAAAATAATGAATTCAGTCAGCTGTGGAAAATATGATTATATAATTCACTCAAAATCAAAGATAAATAAATTAAGGTCTTCTGTTTTGTTTTGAGTAATCTGAGTAACTAATAATGTCTGTCTCTCCTGTTTCCCTGCCCTTTTCCCGGGGGCGGGTGGTGAATTAAGCACAGATAACAGAGTTTACAACCTACCCATCAGGAGCCCTAGGAATTCCACTGATGACCAGAAAATTGAGTCTAGAAGAGCATTATTTATTTAACTATTAATTATATCCAGCCCACTCTTACCACAGCTCTGGTTAGTGTACACCCTTGTGGTTCTAGCTTTTTAAAAAAAATCAGGCAGCATTCTCCATGCTCACCATATCATTTCTCATCCATTTGTTTCTAGGGCCCTCTTTGGGACGGATGCAGATGCCCCCATTAAGCAGTGTCCAGTTTGCCGGGTTTATATCGAACGCAATGAAGGCTGTGCTCAGATGATGTGCAAGAACTGCAAACACACGTTTTGCTGGTACTGTCTGCAGAACCTGGACGTAAGTTCTATGTGGAGGTCGCTTTCTTGAGTTGTTTTTCTCCTCCGTTCTGTACCTGTGCACCAGCCAGTGTCCTATAGGCTTTCCTTTCAAAATATTGAGCTGTTTTTGCCCTGCCAAAGAATTTATTTTTCTTAACGAGACTTCCTGAGCCTGTTGCTTTAGATATCTGTAAAACCTCTGTTTGATTACTTTAGGTGTGTCACCTTAGCTTTAAAGGCAAGTGTTTGTTTTAGGGACATTTCCTGCTTTGGGGACATGGTCTCATTCTATTATGTAAAGGACTGTTGGTGTATTAGTTTTATGTTGCTATTGTAACAAATGACCACAAACTTTTGGCTTAAAATGACACAATCTTATTATCTTTAGCTCTGTACATTAGAAGTCGAATGTGGATCTCATTGGATTAAAGTCAAGGTGTCCGTAGGGCTGCATTTTTTTTTCTGGAGACTCTAGGGGACAATCCATTTCTTGGCCTTTCCCAGCTTCTTGAGGCTGCCTGCATTCCTTGGCTTGTGGCCCCTTCCTCAGTCTCCAGAGGCAGCAGCAGCAGCAGCACACCTCTCTGACCCTTCTTTCACAGACATAGCTTCCAGAGCCATTCTCTCTGACCGCAGTTGGGAAGGCTTCTCTGAGATTAGATTGGGCCCATCAGGGAAATACAGGAGAATCTCCCCTACCTCAAAGTCTTAATTTAATCACACTTGTAACATCATCACAAGTTCTGGGGAAAAACCATGCACATCCTTAGGAGACTGATTATCCTGCCTTCCACAATTAGGTTGTTTTCCTCTTTTTGAATTTAAAGAAAAAAGCCATTCAAATCAGTGCAGTGATGTCTCTCAAATAACAATCTCATTCATTGGCATGACAGAGGTATTGCTCCTGCTTTGTCAGGGTTCTCTTCTAGATAAAAAGGTCTGGTCTCCTTGTCCTTTTTCCTAACCATTCCTGAAGCATGTCTTCTCAAATTCCGGTGTAGTTATAGTCACCCCTGTGCTGAGACTAGTAATGGTAACCTCAGAGTTAAAAAGTGGTGTGAGGGATTATTGAGCATTCATTCTACTGTTTTCAATTACAGTGTTTTAAAGTTTGAGGTAGCCTAAATTATTTATAGATATTCCCTATTTTGGCAGTTTGGGCCTATGAAATATGTCCATATGAGTTTAAGCCCTCAGACACGGGTGGTCATTCTTTTCTCAGCTTCCCATTTTAATTGTTCAGTTTGCTTCAATTCAATAAGCAACTCTTGTAGTGCTTGAGTATCACACACAGTTGGGCGGTGAGTGTGCATTTAAAACATGGTGTGTGTGATGGCCACCATGGGCCTGATTTTTAACCAAAATTCAGTAAGTTGTCTAGGCTGACATCTGTAAGTAAGAATCTTAATCAGTTTTATGTCAGTGTTTCAAGAAAAGGTATAAATTGAGAAGAAGATTGACATTTTAGACTCTAGAAGCTTAGCTCAGGTTGAAAGAAATATTTTCATTCTTTTAAAAAATTCTATTATAATCCTTGAACTACAATTATGTTTGATAGTCGAGACCTCTCATAATTCTAAATGAGTAACATTCTAGATGGAGATTTGACAGATTATACATCCCTCATGCTTTACAATTGGAAGAAATTGTTTTCCGTTTTCTTCCAGGTTTAACCAGAATATTAATTGGGCTCAGATCCACAAGCAGGCTGAACCCAGAGGTTCTGTGTAGGAAGCAGGAGTGTAAGGGATAAACATGTGTGCCAGATCCCTCCAACTCCTGGCTGGCATGTGTTTGTGGTGTGGAGTTGCAAAGAACACACTGTTCTGTCACTTGTATTGTTCTTGGACTTGAGATGAAATGGTACACATGTTAGGTGGCTGCATACACAGCATCTTTTTCTAGTTCTTATTTTCTGAGACCCCAATTTTTTGGTTTTAGCTGGGGCATTGGCTTTTTGGCAATGTTTTTCTGTAGACAGGTGTTCTATGTAGGGTAGTGGTGTTGATCCTCGTTTATAGGAAAGTTTTGGAGCATGGGTCTAGGAGAAGGTGATTGTCCAAAAGCCAGGCCGAGGTAGACACCAAACAGAGTGATTTTGTGTTTTAAGTGTGTTTCCGACTTGAATCTCAGACCTGCTGTTTCAGAGGATGAGGTATTCTTGTTTTTTTTTTTGGGGGGGGGTGATTAAGTGTTTATTAAACCCAGTTTTTAAATAATACTACCTACAGTCTGTAAACAAATATAGTACACATGTAAGTAAAAGGTTCTTAGATTAGTAATAATGGAAAAACTAAGGAGCCCTTCATACACTGGCATCTCACCACTCCTTGGGCCAATGCTGTGGGGCCGTGTTACAGTTAGAATTCAAAGAAAAAGCAGAAGGCGTTTAGTTGAACTCCACCTACTAGGATGAAATTCAAGACATAATTTTTTCACTTAATAGGAGACTGGGTTATAACAAGGCAACAGTGTGGGTTTTACATTCACAGATTGGCTAAAATAGTACAAACAAGTGTCTTTTCTGGCTGTCTTCCTCCCTGTTACCACAATTAGTAAGAGATGATGGACCGCAGGTGTTTACAAAGATAGGTAACTTGTAGGGCAATAAATGTCTACAGTTAGCAGCACACAAACTTATAAAATTTGCCTTTTTCCATAGTGTGCAGAGTATTATAAGTGTGTTCCAGAGGTACAGCCAGCAGACTTCAGAGTGGTAAAGAGAGCATTTGTAAAGAAAAAGCACTCAAGCACAAAACCCACAGCGGGGAGCTGAATACACATGAGAACACACAAAAGATAGAATCCTAATTCTTCACCTCTGATTGTCCTACTTAACAGATACCTACAATTCGCTTACTGCCCTTTATGTATTTTAAAAAGTAACACTTTGCCACCTGTGTACAAACTTTAAAAATGATCAGTCATAATCATGAGAAAAGCAAGAGTTGATTCACTTAATAGCAGCACTGAAGTCGATGAAACGTGTGGTGTTTTGTGTGCTTTTGTGCATACCTTTGTGGATGGGGCTTTATCACGTCCCCAGAACATTTTGATAGAGTTTTTAAAATTCCCACAAAAATCTATTTTATAATCATTTCAGATAGAAAGGGAAAAAAGTCCCAAATGAGAAGGTAAAAAAGGTCACAAAGTGACTGAAAATCCATGAATATGTAAGTGATATCCATATGTTCCCTTAATACTTTATCAAGTGCTATGTAAGGTATTGTAATGCTATCCTGAAGCCAGTCTCATTTAAGAAGGTACAGGAATGCCTGTTCTAATTCTGGAATTAAAAGCATTTATTCCATATAATGTGCATTTCAGCTCGGTTGGCACCTACTTGATTGTACTTGTTGGTGTCACCAGAGCTTCATGGCAGACTTGAACTTTTAACGGTTCAGAACTAACACTACCACGGAGAGTTACTCATTCCTGGTTCTTACAGGGAATGAAGGATATACTTGAGTTGTCCTAAGGTCACTTCAGCCGAGAACAGTATCCCCTGGAAACTTTGTCAACTTCCCTAGCCAAAAAGATCTCCATAATCTAAGGTGTTCGGGCCTCACTAAATCAAATAAACAGGTTCCACTGACACACTAACATACATTCTACACCTTCAACACGAAGCTTTTCCCAAACTCACTTGACCTTGCCAGAGGCATCCAGAAACACCACTGGTTCCCAGGACACTAGTTTTCTGTGGAACACTGTTTGAGAAATGCCATTCTAAAGTAAATTTTCTGAAGTAGTGGTTCTAAAATCGTAGTGAATATTGGAAACATATGCAAGGCATGTTAAAGCATAGATCCAATACCCCACATCAGAGGTGTGCAGTGGGACCTGGGAACCTGCATTTCTAAACCACTCCTAGTGAAGCTGATGGAGTGAGGACCACACTTTGAGTGGTGTTTGTCTAGACAATGCCCCACACAAATCACAGCTTCAGGAAGCTTTCCTATGGCTTCAGGAAAGGTAGCATATGGCATTTGCCACATTAGCTGGTCAGATCAGCCCAGTGACTCTGAGAAGGTCCAGGGGCACCTTGGTGGGGTAGAGGAGCATTTGATTCCTGGCTCTTCCCCTCCTCACCAGGTGAGCAGGCACAATGACTGCATCTTAAAAGAGGAATAATAGCAGCCCAGTCTCGGGGGATCTGTGAAGTATAAAGGAAACTACCTAACAAAAAAGCATCATACAAGTATTATTAATCAGAAGAATGTGTCAGTTACAGCAGGAAAATCCCAGACAAGTTTTCTGTCTTCTGCAACTGCTGAGCCTTCATGAAAGCACATTCTGGTAGCTAATGAAGAGAAAAGAGGCTAAAATCAAAGAAAACTGCAGTGAGAGAAAGATACATAGTGGGTTACTTAGTTAAAAATATCTAATTGTTTAAAAAAGATCAACTCACAAAGCTCTTAATTATGCTGGCTTTTGAGATAGTTTTCCAAAGTTACAGTCTGTTGATCTTTGAACACACTTGCTCTTCTATTTTACCATGTTATTAATGCTGGTTAAATTTTAACATCAAGAGAATGTGAAAAAAAATTCCTCCACCAAACACATATAAATCAGATCTAAAAACAGCTGAGATAGTTCCAGTCTTGCAAGCTACCACTGTGGGAGAATGAGGTGTTCTTACCCTTCTGCCTTGGGAACGTCAGCGACTTGCACCCTTCAGTTATCTTTTCTCTCTCCTCTGACTTCACCTTCTGCCCTCTGCTCTCCAGTCTCTAACTGACCCATGCATTCAGCTGTGACCCATTTAAAAATGAGGGACCCTTTCCTCAAGCCTACATCTTCCCCTTACATTTCTCTCCTCCTGTCAGCAGCCAAGCCTCAGTAAAATATAATCACCTGTAGCTGTTGACACTTAACTTACCTTCAGTCATGTGTCCAGATTGCCACTTGGTCACACCCTGACTGTATTATTCCAAGGCTTCAGGTGATTTCTTTTGGGTAAAATCCAGGGGACACTTAAGTTCTCATCTTACCTAGATTCTCAAGAAATCTTGACCACCTCTGATTCCATCTCTTCAGGTTTCCCTTCTATATTTCTGGCCACTTCTCAGTTTCTTTTCCAGACTCTTCCTTGACCCATTCTTATATCTGTGTTCAACAGTTGTTTGCCTCTCAGGCCATATGCTCCCTAGGATCTCATTTACTTCTGTGGTTTCTTCTACCCCATGTACACTGATGGCCAAGCCCTTTTCCCCACAAATCCACATATATTTAACCAGCTGCCTTTTGAACAGTACTGCTTGGATGTCTTAAGTATTTCTCAAGTTCAACTTGTCCAAACTGTGGTCATCACCTCCCAACAAAATCCATCTCTCTGCTGTTGTTTCTCTCAACAAAGCAATTACCTTCTATACAGGGACTTTCCTCTAATCTGCAATTTCTCCTTATTTACCCACCTGGTTAGTTACGTTCTTAATATCTCATGAGTGTATTTTCCTCTCCTTCTCAGGCTCTGGCATGTTCTAGCCTTGTTTACTACAGCCACCTTCTAGCTGCCTCACTCATGGTCCTCTCATTCCATACCATACCTTGAAGATAATTGGTCAGGCCATTAATATCTTTTAGACTCAGTCAAGAGTTCCATTGATTAGGATCTGTTTTTACTTGGTGATATATAAAACTACTGAGATACAGTCTAAAGATCATGTGCTTGGAATTCCTAGAGGCTGTTATTAATATCATCAGACAGAGTCTTTGCTTCCAGTAAGGTGATCTGATGTGGTTAATATCCATTTCTCAATTCAAAATGTTTATAAAAACTTTTCTCTTTTAATTTTCAGAGTGACATTTTCCTCAGACATTATGACAAAGGACCATGTAGGAATAAGCTTGGCCATTCAAGAGCCTCAGTGATATGGAACCGAACACAGGTACCCTGACCTTAAAAGGAGAATGAGATAAACCAGATATACAATGGCTTAAAAAGCTCACCTGTTCATCCTCTCCACTCTACTCCTGCTTACCCATTCTAGCCTGGGAGGTTCTGGGAGTTCTGGGGCAGGGCTGGGAAAAGGTAATGGAGCAATTGCCTGGAGTTAATTGATGAGCACAGTACTCTTGAGGGTAAGTGGAGGGGCAGGGCACCAGAGCAGCCAAACAATTAAGAGTGACTTGCAGAATGAGGGCAGATGCTCTTTCCTTCTGAAAAAAAAAGTTGGGATGACTTCCCTAAAGCCCTTTACAGCATGTTTGCTATGAAAGGCAGTGCTCTGAAACCTGATAAGCGCCTGCTGGGGCTTAGATCCCTCTGTACATGCCATCATGTGTTTATGTGACAGGTTCAAAGGGAGGCCTGGTTTATTTTTAATAGTGTTTCATATTTGTTAAGGGCCATGTTCCTTTTGAAGGAGTCAGTGTTAATAGCCTAGTAATTATTATTAACGTCCCTATGAGACTGTTGAGGAAACTCAGGTAGAGAGAGAGCCAACACCAACATTTCATGATTATACTGAGCTCGTGCCAGAACCTGAGTTAGGGTTTGGTTTGCTCTCCTCACCTTTGATTTAGTCTTTGGTATTGCCCTGATTTATTCAGTTCAGACCATTGCTGGATGAAAGGTCCCATAGTTGTGACTATTTTATGTGCCTGAGATGGTGCCTTAGTCAGTTCAGGCTGCTATACCAAATTACCATAGACTGGGTGGTTTAAACAACAGAAATTTATTTCTCATGATTCTGGAGACTAGAAGTTCAAGATCAGGCTGCCAGCAGGGCTGGTTCTGGGACTGGACTTGTTGGTTTACAGATGGCCATCTTCTCATTGAGTCTCACGTGGCAGAGGGTAAAGAGAGGCAGCAAGCTCGCTGGTGTCTCTACTTATGAGGGCAGCCATCCCTTCATGAGGGTTCCACATCACCATATTGGGAATTAGGGTTTCAAGATGAAATTTTTGTGGGGGTGGGGCACAAGCATTCAGTCCATAGCTGTTGGTGTAGTATACAAATTGGGAGATTTAATTGCTAATATAGTTTTTTTTCTTCTGAATTTCCAGGTGGTTGGGATTCTTGTGGGGTTGGGCATCATTGCCTTGGTGACTTCACCTTTGCTGCTTCTGGCTTCCCCGTGTATAATCTGTTGTGTCTGCAAGTCCTGCCGGGGCAAGAAGAAAAAGCATGACCCATCCACAACCTAAAGATCTCTGTCTCTATTTGTGTCTGTGTGCCACACATGTCTTATACATACAAGACAACACAGTGATAAAGCCCCACTTAGTGAACTCGCCTCCTTTTTCTTGCCAAATTTTGGAAGTGCCTCTGTGTCCAGACTTTGAACTGGCCTACCCACCTGTGGCATCAGGAAAGGCCAAGCACTGGTGTGTGTGTTCCTGTGTAAAGACAGTCGGGTTCTGCAGTCCAGGTTGTGTCTGTGGAGCATGTCAGAAGAACCTTCAGGTTCTTGGGAAGGAACTAACACATCATCATTCTATCACCTGAAGGATCCCACTGGACTGCTCGACTTCCAGCCAGATTCAAGGAGCCTGAGTGAATGTTCAATATAATAAAGGTGTTGTCATGGTTGGCAATATACATGATCATTGAGAAGCTCGAGTGTGTTCTGTATTGTTTGACTACCATGGGAAACGTGGGGGAAAACCCATGGACAAGACTGTTTCGGGGAAAATTTTCGTAAGAGTGATAAAGCAGGCTGCTTATCTTAGGACTCGATGTGGTGGCTCTGCCCTTGCCAGCTACTGGGTGTGCTTTCCCAGCATCCCCACAGTGACTTGGCAGAAGCACAATGGGTTTCTGCTTGTGTGATCTCAGCTTCAAGCAGGAGAAACTTCTGTGCAGAGGAAGTTGTCCCTTCCCACTAAAAGGGTTTCGACATACAAAAAATATGGTCTAGTTCAGTCTGTCTCTCAGCAAGTGTAACTTTTTAAAGGTGGTAAACCCTTCTCTTATAGCCAGTAGCTGCTGTCTACACACTTGTTTTACATGAAGGATTTGGGTGCAGTGGCAGAGGTTCAAAACCTTCGTCATAAATAAGAGGGACCTTTCTTAGCTCTGTGTTCGTACACCCAACGGATGTAGAATCAGACCTAAAGGTACACACCAAGCCCTTAGGTGCATCTAGAACCCATATAACTTTCTGCCTACCTAGAATTCCTATCCATTGGGCATGCCTGGATATGAATGCAAAATCATAGTGTGTATTATTGCACGCAATAGTACAACACACAAAATAAATGTCTATGTAAAAGCCAGTCTGTATCCTTCTGTGACTAATATTGTTTATTATAAATCAACCTACAGATTTTTTTGCATATTATATATGTAAATTTTTGGTTACAAGTTCTTAACTTACCCAAGTATAGACTCATCACCATGACTCGTTTAAAATGATATTTAATACTGTCATCTCAGTTGGTAAAAACACTGATTGATAATCACATTATTTATGTGTTTTCAAACACAATTCAGAGCAGCTGTCTTCTCAGCAGAGTTTAGTATCTGTTATGGCAATCTGAATTCTGTATGTACAAGACACTGATAAAACAACAAAAATATATCAGAAATGTAAAAGCTTTATATATATTCAGTAGTTTGGATTTGTATAACCTCATTGTGACTTGGTTTTCCCACTATACCATTAGTCAGATTTTGAATAAACGGGTTTTGAAAAGACAATGACTTTTCCTCCAGTGACAAGATGACATAATTGCCATTAGCAGTGTAGCCTGGTGCCTCCTGAGAGCTGGACTAAGTGTTAATGGAGAGCTCTCCTTGAAGCCAGGGATACCGCGTAAGGAACTGTCAGGAACTATGATACGTTCTGAGGTAACTGGATAACTAGATTACTAAATTGCTGCTATCCTGGACCTATTATTAAAGAATAATGCTTTGCCTATGTAATGGAATGTATCCTAAGTGGGGATATGTATATTTAAGGAACTTTAATTCACATATACATACATATATATATATTACTATATATATATTACTTTTGGTCATGTATATTTTTATTTACAGTTTGTACAGAACATCGATGAGAACTCTGGGAAAACTTTTGATGGCAGCCAACTAAAAACATTTTTAATTGTTTATTAGAAATTTATCAACATTGTATCTTTATTTTCCTTTGAAACTCAAAACAGAAAAAAATCAATACTCTTTATCAATGTATTTCATATTAGTATAAATATAAGGGTATATGTATTTGAATAATTTGCCTTGTCTTACACTGCCTCATCAGAGTTAAAGACATTTGTAACTGCTCAGGGGATCACGGGAACTCAACTGAACTGAATTTTTGTATCAAGAATGTTAGTAGTTGCAATCTACTACTCAATTAGCAAACTCTTCAACCTTGGTTCTGCAAAGAATCTTATAAGAGAGACTGGTTTCAAGTTACCTAAAGGCTGTGTTATTAAAGGTGGAGCTCCTGAGCTTGGACTTAAAGTGCAAGAAAACATCTGTGTTATTTCCCTGGAAAAATAAATGAAAGGGACTTGCCTTCTCACAGAGATTCTGTTGTAGAGGAATTGGCTCCTTTTATTTTGTGGGGGATAACCAGTAGGGGTTGTTTGTCAAACATATTTAAAATAACTATTTTTTAAATTTTGAAAAGTACCCAGAAAATGGTGACTTCTTCCTTAAGTAGCTAAATGAATTGGTGGGTATAAGATTGTCAGAATCAACAGGACGGATTGGGAGGTGAAACCCAAGTATATCTCTGATGCATCAAGGTTTGAGATGTAAGCCGATCACGAAAATTTGCTTATACAGGAGAAAGCTGACAACTTTGATAATGGACTGATACTATCATTTTGGATAATTGTCCAGTGAAAGGGTTTAACCTTGTCTCTTCCCTCTGTCAGGTTTATTCTTTCCTAGTGATTCTCACTCTATACTAGGAAGAAATCTGGGTCTACATGGTAATGTTTGGATATTTTGGCAAAACCTTTTTGTGTTTGGAGTGGTATAGTATAGTCCATTTGAAATAGGAATTTAAAAGTCCTTCACTGAGATTGTGATCTGGATGTAGTAACTTACCATGCAGAAACACTGCTGGATGTATTGGCATAACACCTAGCCCTTGCCCCTTCTAGGAATTTTTCTCTTGGGTAGTGAGGTGAGGAGGAAAGTCACATGGGAGCAAATTTTAGAATCTTAGGCATCCTGTTTGTTCATGCCATAGATGTTTGCTCTGGACTTGAAATCTCTCTTTTGAAGGAGGTCTTTGAAAAATGAATAATTCACAGTGTGAATTTTCTTGTAGCCTGCATCACAAAAATGTTACCTATGCACGTCTGAAAAATCTAAATGCTTATTTGAATGTAAAGCACTGTTTCTTGGAACCCCAAATTTGTCTCTTAAAACTTATTCAGAGTCTAAATTTGTATGTTTTACTTTAGCCTTCCCTAAAGTGCTTCTGAAAGACTTTCTGTTCATGAATGGATGCCTTTATGTGTATAGGTCATTTACATATGTGCAGCTACAGAGACAATTTCAGAAGCCTTAGATGAGTGATGTTTTATAAAGTGGTCTCAACTTATAGCTGCAGGCTATTGCGTTGTATGTTGATTCATGATCCAGAAAGTTTTGTTATGTATTTAAGCAATTGGATGTCATATTTTTTCAATTATTTGAGAGAAAAAATAGCTGTTTTCGTCTCTTAGCCCCAATAAATGTGGAGCAGGAAATTAAGTGTGTTAACTATTGTTGTGCTGCATGTTTTTAGACATGTTCAATTTTATCATCTAAGAGCCAACCAAGTCACTATTAAATGCTAGGCTCAAAATGAACATAAACTACCCAAATCTGCAGTACCATTTATGGAAGTAATTTTTGCTACCTTGTGTCTTCAAAGAAATGGGAGTGGGTGTAATGCCATCACTTGCAGAAGACTTTCTCATTGCATGTATGATACTCCATTGCTGCCAGTGCACAAGCATTGACCATTGGCTAGAGAAATAACCAATAACTTAGACCTTTGATCATTCCAATAAAAAATGGCACCAGGCATCAAAGTCATTAGTTCTGTCAAACAAGGGTTGGGCTGTATGCTCTCTCAGGTCAGTTCTAACCTCCCAAAAGTTTATTAGAGGAATGTGTTTCCTTGTTATGATTTTTTTTAAAAAAGGAAATGTTACCTTAAGCTCATTTCCATTTGATTAGTATTCAAGCCTGAACTTCTCTAAAATTGAGTGCCAGAGGTTGGTTAACAACTAGAACTTGTGTTTCTGCAAAACCGAAAACTCACATTCGTATACTGATGTTGATGCCTTTTTGTTGAATATTATATGCTACTATACCTGAGTACAAAAGTTTATAACTGACTTATGAATTGAAATTTTATTTTCTAATCCTTCAGTTTTGAGGAAATCAGTAACATCATTTTAAAACATTTTAGAAACATTTAGAAACATTATGGTTTCTTAATCTGCTTAATCATCTAGAATGTCAATATCATTTCATTTTTAGTGTGCTTATTGTTTGCTAAACTTAAATTTGCATTCACAAAGAATATTGAATGAATTATGTTATACAGCAGTGACTTTAGTCAATGCCTGACCAGCAAGACTTATATTGCAATGTAAATTATGAATCTAGTGAATTTGGGGAATTATAATTAGGGTTTTCTGTAATTCAATTATTTCCATTTGTTAGATAATAAATCTAGGTTTTTTTAAACCCCAAAGAAAGTATACAACTCTATATTATGAGAAAAAAATTGTCTTCATATAATTTAATAGCAATTACAATGTTTTTAATACATTTTTATATGTGCTTTTTAAAGAACTTTGAGAACAGTTCTATGAGATAAATTGAACAGCTCCTCTTCGTAGAGAAAGCAATGGTTTTGTGTTGATGTCTTGCCAAGGGTCACACTATGAATGGCAGCCAGAAAAGGAATGCCAGACTGCTTGAAAGTACTTGAATGCTCTTACATTCTTCAGTGATTCCGAGGCTGCCTTCACTCCCATATCTGTGAGAATGTACTTCCCTCTCAGTTATTTGCACCAGTGGAAGTATGTGTAAGAGAATAATTTATTATTTTGAATAATCACTTTGACTCTGTTTTGGTATATCTGACGGTGTGCCTAGGGCAGATGGCCGCTCCTGAGATCCAACCCAGTCAGTCCCTGGGGCTCAGCCAGAGAAGGGCAGGAGATGGTGATTCATTAACTAATAGTATCTAATATTGGAACTAGACTCATACTTACTTCAAATGCCAAAATGTTTGCTTCTCCCACACAAGTACAAAGTACATTCTCACAGGCTCCTTTTAATCTTTATTGTCCAAACTCAAAGCAGTGGTTAATGCAGATCCAAGTCCTTTCCTATTAATGTTACCAGCTTGAACTCTGGTGTATATTTCTGTCCTATCACTAAATAAATCAACCAAGTGACAGTTTTCAACAGCAAGAAATGAGGCTCTAAATAATGAACTTACAGAATAAATTTCTTACATGTATAAGAAATACATAATTTCATGTATATGGTATATATGAAATTCATTCTGAATTTTCATTATATATATACATATACATATATATGTGTTATACTTTGAGTTCCATTTTCTGCTTTTATATTTTTCAGTTCCCTTTTTTGTGTTAAAACTAGAATGTAGGCTTTTGATGAGAAGGAAATTAAGTCTAATGTTAGCCATTTTATTTTGTAGTTTCTTAACGACCAGGCATGATTCAAAGGGTATATTTTCTTTTTTGAGGAGTGGATGGTTGGTTAACATAATGCTTTTGAGCATATTTGCCTAAGATAAACATGGAGGTTTTCTTGAGGTGAGTTATGAGGCTTCTGATTATTGATCAGCCTGGACTTATTTTCTAAATCTAAGCCAGTTTGTTTAACTAAAAGCAAACAAATCCAGAAATCCACACGCCACCTTGCACGATGTGCCCCAAATTCAAGCCTGGCCCCGGGACTTGGGCGCCACAAGGGTCCATGAATAGTGCGTTGGAAGAGGGTTGGCATGTCTGGTGTCACCTGGGGCACAGAACAAGCAGGCAGCATCCTCTGTTCGCCCTGCTCTCTGCTCATCCAGGCATGTGTGAGGAGGCAGGGAGGTGGAGGGTGTGGGCAGACATCAGCTTGCAATAAGGTGACTTCAGTTCCGGGCCTGACTTTGCTCTTGTGATGTGGTCCAGGGCCAGCCATCTATCATACAGCATCATTTCATGTGTCTTAGCTCTGGCTTAGAAGGAGCATATGAGATCACAGATGTCAAAGTACTTCTAAGTGT